TTCAACCACCGAGCTTGCCGGGGTCGGCTGGCCGGTCCGAGTCAAATGAAGCAGCGGGTACTGCAGACTATTTTCAAGATGTATTTTTGCATTTTATTTTCTTATTTCCATCACTGGGGCATCACTTTTTGTCCAGTTTATGCATTGCTTAGCAGCGCCAAATCCTTTGGTATTGGAGATTATTGATGCTGTGTTTGAATTCTGAGAATTAATTTTTTTTGTCTGCAGGGAAAAAGAGAGGAAAGAGAGAGAAGCAATCGAGGCACAAAAGGTATGCTGTAGTTGGGAGATAGGAACCCAGACTTGAAGATGCAGGTTAATCTGTTACAGTTGCATTGATGATGTTTGTAATCAGTCAATCCACTGAAGCACAGTGATGACAAAACTACAAACCAAATCTGAGCAAACATGCCTCCCTCAAATAAATTACCCTTCATTATAAAGCTTATGCTTTAATGTGACCAGATCCCTCAGAATGAATCTGAAAGCCATCTTTTCTGTTTTAGTGTGCATATTAAAGCAAACTTAGCTTGTTGTATTGAGGTATTTCACAGTTTGGCATCCTGATGAATATGGACACTAGGTGAAAAGGTTGAGGGTTTCTGTTGAAATTATCTGGTTGTGTCGAAACTAGTATCTGATGGACACTGCAGTTGGTAGAGCTTTAGCAATGTGGTCCAGCGGTTATAGGTTCAAATCTCTCTGGTAGATTTCTTTGTTCATCTTCGTCATCATGAGCATGTTATCTGTTTTCCGCCTTCATCAATTCCTGGTTTCTTGTAAAGGCCCCCATAAGTCAAAATTGGCTCTCATGATGTCTGACACGCCCTATTAGGTTGGGTCACAAATTATTATTCAATCACTACCTCGGTAGAAAGTTGGCAAACCTTTCTTGAGGTTGCACATTCAAATCCCGCTCCAGTCAGTTTCGTTGTTGAGTTTTATTTTCATTATAAGCACCTTGAGAGTTTCTCCGACAACTCAATTTTAAACAAAAAGCTGATTGGAATTCCAATTGGAATTGAAGTTACAGTTACTGTGAATACATCTTGATGCCAGATATTTCTCATTTTTGTATGTTGTAACAGGCTGAGTTTGGTGACTACGAGAAAGGCTGCATTCTTCACTTCAGCAGTGCTAGTGACCAGATGTCAAGGGAAGACTTGAAGGAATTTTTCTCAGAGTACGGAACAGTGAGCTGGATTGACTTTGTCAGAGGTCAGACAGAGGTAGGCATCTAGCCCTGGGTACTCACATTCAAACCAAACCAAATCTATGCCAGTGTATGTGTTTGTCATAAAGGCAGTCAACTTTGTATATCAATTGTTCAAACTATTGGCATATTAAAACATTGTTCTGTTGCATCATCAGGTGTTGCATATGATCAAATCATGTCCATTTGAAAGATAGATTTTGTAGATTTGTCTAAATGCAAGCTTGAGCATTTAACTGAACTGTGAACTATTCACGGTCAGGGATTAGGTATTGTTAACCACTTGCTGCCGGGTGCTTTTAACCACTTCGTGCCGGGGCATTTTTCAACATTGATGATGCTGGGCCGGCATGACTATTATTTTTTCCATTTTCAAAATCCTTCAACAATTCATCCCATTTAACAGTCGTTTATAGCCACACGGAGTAGTCTTTAGGCACTACTCTAAGTTGACAGGTGACCTTCATTGATGCCCGAATATTTCAGCCAGGCCTGCAGCCTTGTAAACAGAGCCCAGATTGTGCGGTGTTATACAACTGTCTTCTGTTCACAAACCTGGCTCAGTGCACTGCTGACCTCTTTTCAATTGGGGCCAGGTTAGCGTGCAGCGGTGCTTCGTGGCTCATCGCTGCGGTGGTGGAGAGCTTTTGTCCCCGGTGGTAATCCGCTTGCTCTCAATGCCCTAAACCCTGGTATACGGTTTCAAAACAATGCTGGATTATCACCACTTTTGAGAGTGAAAAATGCCGGTAATGCCCAGCAGCCTGGTCTTTTGTTCGGAGTATGGTCTTTTGTTACAGGGCCCTGTTTCCTTTGTCCGAGTTTGGAGACCCCGGCAACACATATAAACCAATCAGCTCCGATTTCGGAGTCCCTGGCTGTTAGTGGTTAAAAATGCAGCACCTCCATACTGGCAAATTTTCACTATCTTCGGTTTTCAAAAAATCTTCAAAAATTCTTTTCTTTTTTTCCTGAATGTCTAAACCCCGTCGAATGACTGTCTGGTGGCTACTCTAATCTGAAAGATAACATCTGTTGATGCCCGAGTATTTCAGCCAGGCCTGCTGAAAATGCAAAATACAAGTTTCTTTTGTTTCCGAAATTGGCACAGTGTGCTGCTGTTATCTTTTCAATATGAACCAGATTTGCATGCAGCGGTATTGTATTGTAAGGCCCAGCTATTTTGTGCCATTTTGGGCACCCCGGCTATGCGTACAAACCCAAGGTACCCAAAACCGGGTTCCCCGGCAGCGTATGGTTGAGGTTAATATTCAGGTAAATAAAGTAGCCACAGGTAATTTTTACAAGAAATCATTTCATGATGGTTTTATTGTTTATTGAACAACATCACCATGAATGTCATGGTTTAGTTGTCTTTTGTCTGCTGTTCCCTCTCCGTACATCTTTTATCAATGCAAGTGAGACAAGAAGTGTTCTTGGTTGAAGACTTTGGACGCGAAATAAGTTTGACCCTGTGGAAACATTTTGATGCTCCTCCAATCTCATTGCTGTTGTGATTTGAACAGGGTCACATTCGCTTCGACAAAGACACCCCAGCAGCCAGCGTGCTGGAGAAGGCCAAGGCAGCCAATGACAACAAGCTGACCGTGAGGGGATGTGACCTGGAGACGCGAGTTCTGGAAGGAGAGGAGGAAGAGATCCACTGGGCCAAGATACACGAGAACATGTCCATGGTGCGACTCAAGAAACAACAAGGTATTGATTGATTTGTGAGCCGGCCTAACAAAATACATGGCAGGTTGCCTGAGCCAGTTTTGAGTTAACCCCTTCAGCCCGGGAACTTTGTGTGAGGATTAATGCATACCACACATACATTCTATTCATAATGCAGCTGCAGTTTCAATGTGGGCCTGCTGCTGGACAGAGCTTTGCATACTGGGCAACCGCAGCTCAGCAGTCACGATCAAAAGAATCCTGGCGTGAAAGGGTTAAACACATCGCACCAGGAGCATTTATGAATGTTAATGATGCTGGGACGGGATAATTTTCATTTTTTTTCTGTTTTCTAAATTCTTTAAAATTCATATCTTCATTTACTGGACACTTACACCCACACGAAGGACTCTCTGGTTTCTACTCTAATCTGACAGACATCATCTATTGACGCTGGAGTAATTCAGCCAGGCCTGCCACCTTGTAAAAAGAGCCCAGATTGTGCAGTGTTACATACTTTATTTTTTTTCACGAAAGTGGCACAGTATGCTGCTGACCTCAATAGGGGCCAGATTAGCGTGCAGCAGTACTGTGTGGCTCATCACTGCAGTGGTGGAGCGCTTTTGTCCCCGGTGGTAATCCTCTCGCGTTGAATGCCCCAAACCATGGTACACTGTTTCAAAAAATGTTGGATTTTCTCCACTATTGAGAGTGAAAAAAGTTGATAATTCCCAGCAGCCTGGTCTTTTGTTCCGAGTACTGTCTTTTGTTACAAGGCCCAGTTCTCTTTGTCCGATTGAAGAATATAAAGAATACGTGCCCAAAACCGGGTTCCCCGGTGGCAAGTGGTTAAAGGCCATTCAAAGAACCTTGAACACTGTAGGAGCCCTCAACAAAAAGAGCTCAATTTTGGCTCTTTATGAAACAACCAAAACAAAATTACTGAAAAAAGGCCTTGAGATTCACGTCAACATTCAACAGATGACTTGTACAAACAAAAATTGGCAAGTCCCTATAATTTCTGCTTGAGAATGAGTGAAAGTGTTAAATGGATTGAGGTTTCAACCACCTGAGGCTCATTGTTAACAAGATCAGAGGCCCTCTTTCTGCGTCCATCCACAAATACTCAGCCTGTGAATCAGGACACTCCCTATTAAACCTGAATTTATACAGAAATCAGTTTGCATCCGTCAGATTGATTCCTCTTCAGACAGTTCACCACTTTACTTATTTCTCTTCAAGGACGCAAAGGGAAATTCAACAAGGGCCGGCCTGCAAAGACCAAAGGGCCGCGTGACACGGGGGTCAAGTACCAAGGGAAGAAGACAGTGTTCAAGGATGACAGCGATGAGGAGGAAGGTGAAGCAGCATCAGGGAGTGAAGCTGAGCAACAAGAAGGTAGGACACCAGACCCATCTCCATCAAAACCCAGAGTTGTTGCTAGCATAAAACATACAACATTTTGTCCTGTCAACGTAACTTGAGCTTTTGTCATGGAAATATCAGAGGTAAGAATGGAGAATGAAAGCCACAGTGAGTCTCTCTGCATAGAGCGTATTTAACCATCAGTCATGATTAAGAGTTAAAACTCACCATTTATTCAGAATTCTGATCATTAGGTTTCGCTCACTCATTGACATAATATGATGAGTACTGGGTACTCGATTTCTGGAAGCCAATGATTTTGGCTTTAAAGATCACCATTGAAGCTCACAATAGAGAGAGAAACCTCAGCATTTTATTTGCTCATCTAGAGTTAATGAGGCAAGGTCATTTGGGATAAAATACCTGATGCCACAACGGCTCGGATTGGTGTCAGCACTCTCGAGTTGATATAAGCTGCACTGAAAGGGCCAATCTCAAGTCCCCCCAAATGAAGCACATCACACTTCATTTTGTGCGTGGTGTTAAGATAATCACCAGTCGCTTTTTGTGTTGCTCATTTTGCTTTTAGCCGAAGCACCAGAGGAAAGCAAAGGAACAAAGCGCCCTCTAGATGAACCAGAGGAACAGTCAGAGGAGACACCTGCCAAACAGATCAAGACTGGAGAGGAGACTAGTTAGAGCAGATTGCCAAGTAGCCTTCTTTTTAAGCTGCAAAATGCATTCATAAACTCACTCCAATTTATGTTTCTCTTGTTTGTACAGGCCCATATTGTTTCAACCTTTGATTTTAATTACTGTAGATACAAACAAATTCTTTGCTTGAGAGAGGGAGTAGACACTTGTTTTTTTAATTATTAATCTACAACTATTTTCCCACTTGGTCACAATTTGCCAAGGATTAGCATGTTAGACTCAATGATTTACTATTTTGTGAGGTTTGCCATACTTAGGAAATGATATTTGTGTTTAGATATCATGCTATAAATGCTTCATTGGTTTGCCAGTGATATACTGGCTTGCTGGACAGATTAAGTATGGTACTGGTAAAAAAACTTGCCAAGTTGATGGGTTAAGTTGTTTCCATCAGGAGCAGTGGTTGGACCACCTGATCTGCTTGTGACAAGTGCGTACTTGTAAACATGTATTTAGTGTTTTGAGTTATTGGTTTACTTGGTTTACTTAGGAGGCACACTCCGCTTGTCATTGCCTGTCTGGCTGGTTTGCTCACTGATAGGTGGACTAGCTATGTGGCTGATTGAATGGCTTCAGCTGTGGCCTCCTGATCGCAAATACTCTTTTTGCGGGGCATACCCACTTGGCTGAACAGCTGAATGGCTTGAATTTTTTTACTATTCCAAGCAGTAGCCAGCCAAGTCTCTGGTGTATTGTTAAAGATTTATTTGGTGTCTCAGATCAGCCAATAAACTCGTTTAATTTCAACCCAGTGAAGCTGGACAAAGCTGGACAATAGACACACTGGTTGAATTTTTAGTATAGTTTACACTAATAGTGCACAAAAATTTATGGGGTAGCGCGGACATCCTGGAGTTTTGCAAAATTGCAGGTAGCAAGCACACCGCGCCGATGAAAACAACTGGAATGAGTCCGTGTATGTCCTGATGAAAGAAAAGATTGTGTAACCCGATCCTCGGACTGGCCTGTGTGTGTGTACATCACCATAGTCGCTGTTTTTACTGGTGCGGTACCTGCCATTTTGCCAGGATCCCGGATGTCCACACTGCCCCATAACTTGGTCGTTACTGTCATTGATTTGGCTTGAAAATGTGGTTGAAGATCTTTTTATACGAAAGACGGATGTGTGAATAACAGCATTTAGCTGTTGGATTTTTTGTCTTTTTTTAAAGTTCTACTTTTGATAACTGCTGATAAAAAGCTGATGATGTCTGAGTTCTGTGTTCACCCTCTCTAGTAATTAATTGGGCATGCTGTACATGATACACAAGTATTGAGACTTGCAGTTTACACTGAGGAAGATGGTTTCATGATTTTTCCTTTAAGGAAGATTTTGAGTTTATTTAATTTGTCTTCTATTAAACTCAAAAGTTGAAAACTTCAGACACCCAACTTAGGATATCTGAGGTTTTTCCTTCAGATAAGAACAGAAAAGAAACCAGCCAAACTGTGGTAACACTCATATATGGTGATGTCCATAATGATATCTTGCTCTTTTCCAGGGAATTTTTTTCCATGTTTTCTCCTGCCATCTGCTGCTATGTAATGGCTTTAGTTTGGGGCTTATTTACAAGTTTCTGTTGCATTATTTGGTTTACTGTGAATTGAGCTATGAGATTTGGAGACATACTTTTCCATTCAACGTTTTCCTCTTACGTTTATATGAAATTAAAGGTCAAGATGACTACTGGAAACATCCTTTAGATTTTTTTAATAAAAGAGACATGTATATGATGTCACGGTATTGCCGTTATTTTGTCAAATGTTTGAGTCAGACAAGCGTATTTCAATATCCATTGTTTCACGTTTCAGGAATTTGTTGTAGTATGAGATGGTGGTGCAGATAACAGGTATGATTGAAGTAACACTGATACATATAGCCCCAAAATGCGTCCAACAATGGCTGAAGTATATATGACGTTTGTGGACACGCTCAGAAGAAGAATTGAAGTAACCATAGAATGAAATGTGACCCTTCTCTTTAAAATTAAAAACAAATGTAAAAATGCATGTCACTTCAGATTGTCTGTTTCATTTCATTTTCAAAATTACTGCCGATTTCTTCCTTTACCAAGGGAATAAACGAGTGCTTGGTCGGTTTTAAGCGTCATTTAAGACATCAGAATGGATGGTGTTTATGGCCCAAGCACACGACAAGGGGCATTATCAGTGTCCAGTCCTGAGTCAGTCCCGAGTATTTATGACCGGCCAAGCACATATTTGTTCCCATTTATGAGTCGGGAAAGTTAAAACAACCTTTGAAAAATTATAAATTTCCAACGATTGTGTTCAATAATTTACTTTTTTAATCAAATGTCCCTGTAACCGTGTTATGGTATGTACCGTCCGCAAGCCGGTTCTTTGTCAACCGTTTTAGACCGGCGACGTGTAGGGCAGGGTTGTAATTTTGTAGCCATAGTCCCCCCCCCCGTTAACATAGGCGTGTTGCACGTACGTGTAGTCATAATTTCTAGACATTAGTGCTTGAAAGCGGACACCGTGCATAGTGCGCCCCCTAACGACTCATAGGTCGAGTTCGGTCCGTTCTTGACACGGGTTGCGTGTTCTCGCGCTCGAACGGCGAGAACACGACCCAAGGACACTGTTCTCGGAACAGGATTACACACCACCGCCTCGTCAGGTTTTTACACGAACACAAGGAAAAACTCGTGAGATTTGATTTTTGGACAGCCGCAAAAGTATCGATATGGCTTTACAAAGCCGAAGACAATAGAAAGTTTTGCAAAATTAACATTAATAATTTTCCATGACAGAAATGAATTTTTAAATGGAAAATAAGTTAGCCCAGTTATCCAACATTAATTCCCATACATTCCCGGCGTTCGAGTGACCGACCCGCGAACAACAAATCAAGCTGTTCGTGAACGAACGAGAACAAGCCGCCCGAACTCAGCCATTATTAGACCGTGCGCCAGCTCGCACTACTGAGAGTAAGTGAGAGTAAGTAAAAAGTAGTTGTGCGAGGGCGCTCGTCATCAGAAATAAAACAACAATCGATCACTGACGTCTTGGGCCAAGACTAACATACGTGTAGCATAACGAATAGCGCGTGTTCGAACGTGCTATTACTCTGAATCTAGTACAGGCAAAGCGTGCGCATTACTCTCCGACCAAGAGTTCAGTTGTGCTAAGCCGCGAGTCATCCTCCCGTGCGTACGCTCAAATGTACATGTATGTTTGTGTTAACATCAGTGGCTCGTACTCGTGTAGGGCAGGTCCTAGATATTATGATTTTTGTATGTTGAAGCCCAGCCGCTGATTGGTAAAAGGCAGTGATCACTGGCACACAGGCCCCTCCCACTGGCGTTGCAAAATGAACTTTTAACCAATGAATATCGTGCATCCTTATATGGCATTGGAGCCAATCCACAGTCCGTGTCCAAATTTCTTGGCTGTACCTTCAATTCACACGCGACTCTATGGGAAGTGGATGCAGCCACTACAAGAAACTCGTGTGAAAATTGAAGCCGTAGCCCTGAAATTTGGACATGATCTGTGTGCATGAAAAGTAGGGCGTTCTAAGTTGTAAATACATACTTGATTTTTTTTAAACTGACTTAATCTCATATTTACAATTTTGGCCAAGTTTGATAAATACGGTTATCATCAAAATTTAAACGTGCAGTTAACTTTTTGATTTGAAAAATACAAATATGCAGGGTGCAATGATATAAGATAGCAACTAATCTCCCCATGGATATTGCACAGGGACCAAGGTATCCTTCCGCCCAACCTGTCGCCTGCGCTCAGCAAATTTACCGCAGTTTTGTTGGCGCTTTTTTCATTCCGCTGTTAGAATTCGACTGGAATGGACTGACGGTCATTGTGTTCTGCATTTTACTCACAAATTCTCTCCATTTTCGGTCTCAAGAAGTTTGCGCTGAGCTCAAGTGGTTAAAGGATCGTCCTGTTTTGGATGTTTATAACAACTTGCCTGTAATAGAGCAGTTCCTCAGTGCAGTACAAGAGAAAGTGGAGACCGCGCCTGGACGTACCTTGCTATTTTTCTTCGCCTGCACTGCAAGGGAGAACATTGACCAGCTCTTGGACTTCAAAACTGACACGGAAAACTACGGTCCTTGAGCTCTGTTGTATTTGTGACTCCTCTTATCGTCTTGAAAGTAAGTTTCACTTGAAAGGAAAAGACCTAAAATGCCCTCTTCCACGCGTCAGTTTTCCTGTAAGATTGTCAAGAAAATCCTTCTAGATTCATCATCATCATGTTCACGTTCACTTCATTACTGACCACTTCAAGTCAGAATTTAAGATGAACAACGAAAGTACACTCCTGCTAGAAACATTTTGGAGAGAACCATCGACTTTTATGTCTAAAGAGGCTACCTTGGTGGCAAAAAGTGGACTTGCAGTCGTCACGAAGGCTAGAATTTTGTGACTTGTAAAACAATTCGTAGTTAGCCTTGACCTGTACCGTGCATTTTAGACAGCTAATTACTTCTGTGAACAAAACTGAGAATTTACTGTTATTGTCGAATGATCTGAATGGCGCTAAGTGTGTGTTTTGGAGGAAGCGACGACTTTTGATAAACAAGGTTTGAATTCAACATCGGTAAGTCAATAATTCTCGCTCGCACGAGCGGATTCGTGCCAGAGGTGAGTGAAGTATTTAACTATTCCCCAGCCCACCCGCCACCATAAAATGCGCCTGCGTGTATTAATTTTCCAAGAGAACTATCCAGAGCCCGTCGTCCCAGAGTATCTTGATATTAATTAACTAACATTGTCGGAAGCTGTTATTTCCACTTACTGCCTGCGTTTCGTTCATAAATTTACTTGTAAAATCAATGAAACTTTCAGCTATAGGACTATTTAGCATTCTTACACTTTTGCGATATACTGTCAATCAGGTCAAACTGCTGTGCGTCACTCGCAGCAGAGGCGTTGACAGTATCTTGAGTGACCGGTTGCTTTTACAGCCAAAATGACAGCTTTCTATTTTTTTCTGTTATTTGTAATTACTAACGTTATCTCTTAAATACAGCACAAGAACGGGGTCACCAGATTAATATGAAACTTTATGCAATTAAATAGTTGGCATTTGTAACTTCGATAGTATTTTGACACTCATGTATACATCATGAAATACGCTCATGTTGTTGCGAAGAAGTTGTAACTTTTAGCTCATTATGAGCACTTACGATTTATATTATTTTTGACACTTGTGTGGGTCAAGGATTTTTGTAAGGAGGATTGTTTATAGGCTCAGTCCTAGAAAATGACCCGAAATGGACTGTGTGTTTATATCCAGTAATATAAGTCATTTTTGAAGAGAATTATACCTCAAACGGCCGCCTGTTTATATCTAGGCCTAGTATGTCGCTTTTGAACAGATTGATACCAAAAAAGTCCACCTGTTTATGTTCAATAATAGCTATATAACTACAGAGCAGATTGGTACCTGGAAAGACCGTCTGTTTATGTAGTGAAAACGAGGTCAACATACAACAGATTAACACCCAAAAGGGCAATAGTTATTTTCTAGTTACTTAAGTCCACCATTGACAAAATTGATAACAGAAATGGGCCTTCTTACATTTGATCGTGTAATGTCTCTATTCCACTAAACGCCTGTTGATATCTATCCATTCAAGAGAACGGAGGGGCCGTCTGTTTATGACCCTTTTTGTAATATTGATTTATTACTGAACAGATTGATACCCAAAAGGGCCGTCTGTTTGCATCATAGTAACAGAGTGGATTGAAAAGGGACCATCTTGTTATGCCTAGGCCTAGTACTATATGTATAAGATTACCATAAAACAGATTAATATACCCGGCATGGGCCGTCTGTTTTTAGTTTAGTAGGCTAATAGTAATACAAAGTCACTATTGAATAGATTGATACCCGAAAGGGCCGTCTATATTCAAGGCTAGTAATACAGAGTCACCTTTGAATAGCTTGATACAAGTACCAGTACGCGAAAGGTCCGTCTGTTTAAATCTACGCATACAAGATCAACGTTTAACAGAATCATACCTGAATAGGTTATTTGTTTCTAAAAGCTCGCCATTGAGCATATCGATACCTGAAAGGGCAGCCTCCTTACACCTAGGCCTAGATATACAAGGTCACTTTTGATTCCACAAAAGGGTAGGCTATGTGTTTATATCTAGTGGTAGAAGCTTACAATTGAACAGACTAATACTCAAAGGGTCGTCCGTATATGACTAGTGAAGACAAGATCACCATTGAACAAATTTGTCATGTTCCTGAAAGGGCTGTCTGTTTATATCAAGGCCCAGTACTACTGAACAAATTGATACTCGATAGGGCTGTGTGCTTTATACATTTTGGTCTAGTAACTAATACAACTATTTAACAGACTGATACCAGTTGTTTGTATCTAGATCTAGAAATACAGGGTTACTATTGAACAAAATGACACCTTAAAGGGCCTTATTCCGTGTGTATGTGTGCCTATAGTAGAATGTGAGGTCACTTTTCACCGATTTATACCCGAAAGGGTCGTCTGAATACAGTTATACGATGTCTTCTTTAACAGAATGGTACACGAAGGGGCCGGTTTTTTTATATCACGGCCTTTTGTAATAATATCACTACTGAGCAGACTGATACCCGAAAGGGCCGTCTGCCTATATTTAGGTATAGTACTTAATGGCTACTATTGAATAATAATGCCTGGAATGGGCCATCTTTATTTATCTAGTAATACGCTATCACTTTTGAAAGGGCCCCTCTTTGTATCTAGGCCTGGTAATACAA